AAAAAAAAAAAAAAAAAGAAGAGTCTCAAGGACTTTCCTGCCAAGACTGGCTTTGAACCTTGATCCTCAGATCTCAGACTCCTGAGGAGCTAGGATTATAGGCATGAACCAGCAGCACGCTGGCACAATTACCAATTTCTATATGTTAAAAATCAATCAATCTAGAAAACAACTCATTTTACCATACATCAAAAATAACAGATTTAGAAGTAGACACTGGTGGTTCATGCCTGTAATCCTAGCTATTCAGGAGGCTGAGATCTGAGGATCAAGGTTCAAAGCCAGTCCAGGCAGGAGTCTGTGAGACTGTTATTTCCAATTAGCTAGCAAAAAGGCAGAAGTTGAGCTGTGGCTCAAGTGGTAGAACACCAGCCTTGAGCAAAAAAGTTAAGGAACAGCACCCAGGCCCTGAGGAGTCTGTGAGACTGTTATTTCCAATTAGCTAGCAAAAAGGCAGAAGTTGAGCTGTGGCTCAAGTGGTAGAACACCAGCCTTGAGCAAAAAAGCTAAGGAACAGCACCCAGGCCCTGAATTCACACACACGCACACGCACACACGCACGCACGCACGCGCACACACACACACACACACACACACACACATACACGGCAGCACTACTGACTCATCCATAAATTCAGCCCTACCAAAATTCCAAGGCTTCTTGTTCAGCTGCAATTTTATTTATTTATTTATTATTTTGTCAGTCATGGGACCTGAATCTGGGCCTGGGCGCTGTCCCTCAGCTCTTCAGCTCAAGGCTAGAACTCTACCCACATGAGCCACAGTGCCACTTGAGGTTTTTTCTGTTTATGTGGTGCTGAGGAATCGAACCCAGGGCATCATGGCATGCAAGGCCAAGCACTCTATCACTAAGCAACCTTCCCAGCTCCTCAGCTGCTATTTTTTTGAGAAATTAACAAATATTTCCTAAAATTCATGTGGAAATGTAAACAATCCAATACCTAAAGCAATCAAAAAGAAAGTTCCCATTTCTCAACCTCAAAATTTCCCACAAGATTCTGTAGTATAGCACAATATTGCTCCAGAACACGCATCAATCAATGGAAGAAACTGCTGAAGCCCACCCCTCACAGTCAAGTAATTTTCAAGGACAGACAAGGCACCAAGACAATCCAAGATGACTGAGGATTCACATGCAAAAGGCTAAGGAGGAACTTTATCTAGCACTATCAAAGTAAAGTAAATATGAAATATACCTGCCTGCAATCCTAACCACTCAGGAGGTTGAGATCTGAGAATCATAGTTCAAAGCACTGTCCATGCATAAAAGTCCACTCCGAAAAAGCTGGAAGTGGCTCACACCTGTAATCCTAGCTATTCAGGAAGCTGAGATCTTAGGATCATGATTCAAAGCCAGCCCAGATAGAAAAGTCATTAAGACTCTTATCTCCAATAAATTACTCAGAAAAATCTGGAAATGGTGCTGTGGCTCAAGTGGCAGAGTGCTAACCTTGAGCACAGAGGGACTCAGGGACAGAGCCCAGGCTCTGAATTTCAAGCCCCATGACCAGAAAAAACAAAACAAAAAACCCAAAAAACCCTAAACCTCTTCAAGAAAGCAGCTGTTTACTTTATCACATTTTCTTCGATATGATACATAAAGCACAAAGAAAAAATACAGAAAACAGATTTGCATCAAAATAAAACTGTGGCTGGGCACTGGTGGCTCACGCCTGTCATCCTAGCTACTCAGCAGGCTGAGATCTGAGGAACTCGGTTCAAAGCCAGCCCAGGCAGGAAAGACTCTAATCTCCAATAAACCACTAGAACACCGGAAGTGGCACTATGGCTCAAGCAGTAGACTGCTTGCCTTGAGCTGAGGGTCAGCGCCCAGGCCCAGAGTTCAAGTCCCACGACCAACAAAAAAAAAAAAAAGAAAGAAAGAAAGAAAACTGTGCATGATAGGGCTTGGACTTTACCAATGAACTGTACAGACAACTTACAGAACAAGAGAAAACAGCTACAGGATGTCTATCTAATGAGTCTAGTATCCCAGTGTGCAAACTTTTCAAATAGAATTAACAGTGGGCTGGGCGCTGCTGGTTCACACCTATAATCCTAGCTAGTCAGGAGGATTGCAGTTCAAAGCCAGCTAGGGCAGGAAAGGCTGTTTATCTCCAATAAACCACTCAGAAAATCGGAAATAGGGCTGAGGCTCAAGCACTAGCCTTGAGCCAGAACGCTCAAGAACAGCACCCTAAGTTCAAGTCCCACCACTGACACAAAAAAGAAGAGGGAAGGTGTTTGGCCCAACTTTCACTTGCACCACAAGCACAGACCCAAGCAGTCCTGAGGCTCCAGCACAAGCCAGGCCAGGGCTGGGAGAACTCACAGGACCTGTGCAGATGGCAAGTCAGCCGCTCAGCTGCACTGGGCTCAGTCTCAGCTCAACCTTTTATTTCAGTGTGGGGAGGAGCACTGTAGCTTGCTAGGTGCTCTGCCACTCCGCCATGCCTACAGCCCAGGTTTTCCCTGGCTCATTTGCAGGTAGGGCCTTGCCTCCTACCTGGGTGTGCACCTGTACCATGCCTGGCTGGCCACTGCCATTCTGGGGGCAACAGAAGCGCCGCATGCACGGCTTCCTTCCATTGAGATGGAGTCTCATGGACGTTTCTGTGAATAAGGAGCCGCCACTCTCAGCCTGGCTTGTGGTTCAGAATGGCAGGAGCGAGCTGCTGGGTGGCGGCTGAGAAGAGGCCTCTAGGACTGGCCTTGAACCGTGGCTCGCTCTCTCTTCTCAGCCTCCTTGTAGCTAGGCGCGGCCACTGGTGCCTGGTAGCTCTGCTTCCTGCTGGCAGCTGAGGGCTGGCCATCTGTCCTCAGAGTACTCAAGGAGACAATGCAGACAGGCAGAGGAAGTGTGTGTCCATGCTCACTCCCAACTCACACACAGCAGTGTCAGGCGATCGTGACCCACAGCTCTAGCCAAATACCACAATAGCATCTAGAAGGTTCTTCTGAGGCTCTCCCTGAGGGCCAGAGGCCAGGAACCCCACTTCTGTGCTGGCTCCTCCCAGGGTGTAACCCTGGCATCTAGGGTGTGGTCAACCCGTGCTGGCATGCTAGGCCCCAGAGATGGGCAGGGCTCAGTGACGGGAGGGTAACAAGGGACATCAGCCATCCCTTGATGACAGATACGGGGGGAGGGGATAGGTGGAGGCACAAGTAAGAGGACACAGAAGCGGAGACGGGGCAGCAAGGGGTGAATGGAGGGCCCAGGGCAGCAAAGGGTGAATGGATGGAGGGCCCAGGGCAGCAAGGGGTGAATGAATGGAGGGCCCAGGGCAGCAAGGGGTGAATGAATGGAGGGCCCAGGGCAGCAGCAGCTCTGGGCTGCAGTGGCGGTCGGGGTCTTGGCTAGCCTTGGGGGAGGAGGGGTGGCCGCCAGCCAGCCCCCCGTGGCACCTCCAGGCCTTTCCTGGCCACTGGAAGAGCTGAAGCAGGAAAAACTGCCCCCAGCCGCCGCCACTGGAGGAGCAGGGTGGGCTTGGAACTAATCTCCCCACAAACCCGTTCCCTTCCGGGCGCGACACCACCACAGCAGAGCCCCAGGAGGAGGCTCTGAGCCCCGGTGCTAAGCAGAGACACAAGGCCTGGTCATCTGGCCCTGAGTGTGGGCAGCAACCTCTGATACCTCCCCGCCTGAGGGTTCTCAGACGGGGAGGGGGGGAGCGGGGGGGAGGGGGTGCCTCAACTAGACGCCTCAGGCCGGGGTTCTGCCCCGGTGCACTGAGCCTCCTGGGCTCCTGCTCAGCTGCCTCAGCCCCAGGAGCCAGGTCACTGTCACTCACGTGGAGGATGGAGAGGGAGGAGGGAAGAGGGAGGAGGGGAGGGGAGCGAGGGAGAGGAAAAAACCCAGAATCCATGACACCATTACTGAAACTGCGTGGGTGTCTCACAAATACCAGATGACAAGCTGGATGCATCTCCACGCCGCCCTCTTTTCCCGGATGCACACACTTGAGCAATTAAAGAATCGGGAGGAAGATGCCTCCCCCCACCCCCCAGCGCCTGTCCTACTGGTGACATTTAACTTGGGGCCAGCAGAGCTGCAGTCAGGGCGGGCACTGAAAGCAGCCGTGTTCCACGCAGCCACGCAGCGAACCTTGGTAACCCAGGAGCCTGCCTGCAGTCACAGGATCTTGAGATGCTCTCCCCTCTGCAATTAAAAGCAAGACTGAAGAATAACCGGCTGAACCCCCGCTTCCTCATAGTTAGTTCTTAGATGGTCCACAGCAAGCACTCTCCTGCTTCTCGGTATATGGGTGTGTGAT